TGCCCCTTGTCCTGTTGCTGGGCACCACTGAAAAGAGCTTGGCCCCATCCTCCTGACACCCACCCTTCAGATATTTGTAGGCATTTATAAGGTCCCCTCGCAGCCTTCTCTTCTTCAGGCTGAACAAGCCCAGTTCCCTCAACCTCTCCTCGTAGTGGAGATGCTCCAGTCCCCTCACCATCCTTGTAGCCCTCCGCTGGACTCTCTCCAGTAGCTCTTCATCTTTCTTGAACTGGGGAGCCCAGAACTGGACACAGTACTCCAGATGAGGCCTCACCAGGGTAGTGTAGAGGGGAAGGAGAACCTCCCTCGTCCTGCTGGCCACACTCTTCTTGATGCACCCCAGGATCCCATTGGCTTTCTTGGCAGCCAGGGCACACTGCTGGCTCATGGTTAACCTGTCGTCCACCAGGACACCCAGGTCCCTCTCTGCTCTCCAGCAGGTCCACCCCAAGCCTGTACTGGTGCATGAGGTTGTTCCTCCCCAGGTGCAGGACCCTGCACTTGCCCTTGTTGAACCTCATCAGGTTCCTCTCTGCCCAGCTCTCCAGCCTATCCAGGTCACGCTGAATGGCAGCACAGCCTTCTGGTGTATCTACCACACCTCCCAGTTTGGTGTCGTCAGCAAACTTGCTGAGGGTACATTCTAACTCTTCATCCAGGTCGTTGATGAAGAAGTTGAACAAGACTGGGCCCAGTACTGACACTCAAAGCTTAGTCCAAAAATTACCAACATAAATGAACTCCAGCTTGCAGACTTGCTTGAATTTTGACCCATTGAAATCAGTATGAAACTTGCAATGACTTTCACAGAGCAAAAACTGTGATCACAAGGCCACCAGGTCTTTGTGAGTAGTTTCATTTTCCCATACATACAACTTCCATGAAATATGATTTTGTATTTTAGAGAGATGATCTCGCTTCAAAGAAACCCAAGTTGGTTGGAGGACAACAGGAAAGACAATCATATATTTAATTTTCATTAACTTCTGTTAGAAAAAGCATATTCAGGAATCATTACACAGCCTTCTCACTTAAAGAAACTTTGAATAGGTAAATCTGCACAGAAAAGAAGTATAGATAACTAACTTTTTAAAACCACAATAAACACATACTCTTATGCACTTTGCAGTTGGTATACTGAATTAAAGTCAGTGTTACTCCGCCACTGTTCCATTTTTTCTTTTTTTAAGATGTGAAATTTTGCAGGAGTCTTTTTATGTATTCACCACCTACAAAGAAAGTGTTGTTCACATCCCCTGTAATGCCCAGAGAAAGAAGAGCATTCTCTTCTAAAGGCTTCAGAGAGAAGGACAGAGCGTATGCCACAACTGCCCACTGCAATATTGTATCTCACCAAATACTAGAAGCTCAGTAAAACCGCTATTTTCAGTAGAAAACCAGAAAATACAAGATCAGATCACACTTGAAGTAAAAACTGGAGTGCTCGTGACTTACAGTATTCTTTGTTAGAAATGCACTGGAGGACACTGTATATTTACAAGTACTTGGAAAAGAATTGTTACAATGATGAGGAAAGAAAGCCTTATCTTTTATTCCTACACTTTCTGTCATTTTAGGTATTTTACCATATACAAGAGAAGAAGATGATGTGCCAAAACCATGTTGAATTCCTTTGCAAGCAGAAGTTGTGGGAAATGTCTTTTTCAAGTTCTCATTCTTTGACACTAAGGACACTGTTTTTGTTATGCTCCTGTTTAAAGTCATTGTCTCCTGCTCTGGCACGGTAGTAGGCTCACAAACAGTTTCTTCTCTTCCCTCCTTATGTATCCGTGAGAGCCTAAAATTGAACAATATACCCAATTAGAAAAAAACTGAAGATTCAGTCATATGGGCAAAACACAACCATCAAGTAAAATACAACCTGTATAATGGTTTTCACTTGTGGCTAAGATACAGCTGTGCTATGTCACAGAATAAGAACTTTATTAATGATGAATAAAATATAGAGTGAGCATGGGGAAAGAAATAAAAAAAAATTACACCCCTAACTCTTGTGCTCTGACACTATAGGCATCAGAAGTGGTATTACATAGAACCTGATCATTATTTTCAGTAGCCTCAAAGGTAAGAGAGCTTCAAGATTAAACTAAGTTTAAGGTCTGGGAAACACAACTATGAAAATAATACTTTAAAAAATCAATAGTATAATTTGTTCTCATTCTTAGTAATTCCAGCAGTGTGGTATCTACTGTGAAAGTAGAAAGACTGTAATAATTTATATTTTCAAAATTCAATTCTTTCCTAGAGAAAGCATAAAAAATAAGAATACCGTAATACAGGATTTGTCAGGGTTTTTTTTTTTCAAGTTCATTCTTAGATTTGTAGACTAATCTGAAAATCTCTCAAATAAGTTCAATATGCACGAAAAAGTAATTCAGGGTTAAGCTAGAGAACTCTGAAAAATACATGTGCAATATGTACTGATATGAACGGTGCTAGAAGACTGGGGATTACAAACTTCTAGAGCTTCCTGCCACAAGTATCTGAGGTTATATGTCTATGAGGTATATGAGGAGGTTCAAAAAGGGAGAAGACAAGTTCAAAGTCAGTGGGTTCATAAGCAGATACATAGCAGAGCTATCGCCCCAAACATTCATAATCCAATAATTATGGATGCTAAGGGAGTACAAGCGAAATGGACAGCAGAAGGTAGTCAGGCAGGTTTGTGTGGTCTCCACAAACAGCCTCTACTCCTGCTAATGTTAGAGACAGAATCCTGGACGTCACTGATCCCACTACAGCAATTTTTCTGAACCTTCAGTTCATGGCAAGTATACTTCATCCTTTCACCTTGTCATGCCAGTTCAAAGGTTCTTGCTTTGAGAGCAACATGAACACTCCTTTAGTTTCACTTCAAGACAACAAACATTAAGCAATTAAATCAACTCAGTCATTACATTCCATCATTAATTTTGAAAAATACTAATACTTGTCTTCTTTTATACAGGTGAAAGCAACACAGTACATAGGAATACATTTGCCCAGGTTAATATAATTCCCCATTGACTAGACTGTATTCCATTTGCAATGACTTCACTAGCACTTCCCCAAATTGTCAGTGACATAAAGGAGACAGACTTCATTGCAATGGGCAAAAATTACGAAGTTTATGCTGGAGTGTCAATCCAAGCTTCACAGAATTTGCAGGGAAGCAGTCAAATAATTCAGTAGAAGGCATCCATTGCTGTTTCAAATCTTAAGTAGCAGAGAATAAAAAATTATCATAAAGAAATATAATTTCACATACACATTTTCAAAACACACATCTTCCTCTTTTGTTGTTGCATTGTGTTTCCTTTCTGTGCTTGCTCTATAAAATGCTGTGTGAAGAGCAGGGTATGTCTTCTCTGATGAGGATAACTGGGAACAAAGGACAGAAATATTTTATTTCAATAACTATTCCGTGAGTGGTCATATATTATAAACTTAAAAAATCAAAGAAGGCTTTTATTTAACAGCTATGGGAAACACTTTCAAACCGAGAACTTACCTTATCTTTCACTACAGAAATTTTCTGTGTTAAGATATGCAGCATTTTATGTGCATGAGAACTGACTTGTAAAAAGAATCATGATAAAAGACTTAAAAATAGTGGTGCTCAGAGCACTAACATTACTGTCCAGTATTTTCACATAGAGTATAAAATTGCTTTCTCCTGTTGCCATCAACCTAAGCCTGAAATAGTTACAAACCTTCAGAAAAATATATTTTAAATTTAGAACAACAAAATCCTTGTTTTTCAGGACACTTGAGCCAAACACTAACTAAATGAAAATACTTCCATTAATCATGTAAATTAGATTAATATACATGGCTTTATAGAGAGAGTAAGGAATTCACAGATATAAAATGTAGAGGCCTGATTTTTGTTATTCAAATTATCATCATAAAACAGAATTTTGGTACCTTATATGAATGATGAGAATACACAGTTTACACTGGATAACAAAAAGCAAAGATAATGGAAATTGGAATATAATACATCTGTTTCATATTTCAGAGCTACAGTTTACTGTTACGAGAAGATATTTTAGTTGATGAAGGCTAACTCCTACTGTAGCATATTTGGTAAAAGCAGTGAAGTCATGTGAGACCCTCCATTGTCCTCTGCTTTGGAAAGACAGAGAGTAGCGGGTTATAACAAATTACGGAGCTTCCACCAACAATGGCAGGACTGCAGTAGGGTTTTAAGTAAAAACACTTTTTTTCTAAATTCCTGTATTTGAATTGTTACTCAGTATCAGATTGTCCCTCCAGGAAAATGCCTCAAGATAAATGGCAGCCTCTGAAGTTTTCCTTACAGGGTTCCTAGGGGGAAGATTTTAGCCCCCACAACTGCACAGGCATTAACCATGTAAGCCACATGTATTCATACAACATTTTCCCAGGCAGAAGCCAGATTTGAAAAAAAAAAAATTGCTGTATGTAAAAATACTGCATGTATACCAAGGCTGTCCAAACAAAGGATGCCTGTCTGCACATTAGGTTAACATCAGTTTTTTCAGCCTTACAAAACATCCCAGTATCTCCAAAGCTGCACTGGCAAACAAATGCAGTTGTGCAAAAATTACTTTGATATTAACACTGTTGCAAACTCCCAGAGAGTCTCTACAAGCCCGTACATTTGCCTATAAGTTTGTTTATATTTCAGTTTTGGACCACTCTTAAGACACCTCTGGCAGCTCAGCAGCGCTACACTTTCAACAGCCACAGCTACCCAGGCCCAGAGCTCAGTCCAGAGGTGCACACGCAGCAGCGCTGGCTTCAATTTAGGAGTGCACGTGCTAATCCTGACTCTGGGATTAGCAGCAACTGGCCAGAATTTTTAAACATCTAATTTTGGGCTTTTGGGCACCCAGATTTAGAAAGGATTCAGGAACGTACATGTTTTTGTATTTAACTCAGTTCAAGACTATATAATTGTAACAGTTAACTCGAAGTCAGAATGCTAGTACAGTGAGACTATAGCTAGGAGGATATTCACTGCAATTAAAATATGAACAGATAGTCTAGTTGAAAAACATGCACATGCTCACCAGTTCACTGTTGTCTTCTTCACTGCTGTCAGCCGGTTCACACGCAATATACCTGCCTTTTACCATAAGCAGTACCTCTGTCCTCTCTGGTTCAAACCAGAGACGAGAGACTAACATTTTTTTCAGCATTTTGTTTCGCTCATCCATCTGGGGCAGGTATTCTTCATCCTAGCAGTAAGAAAACATCTTGTATTAAATTTGCAGCAATGACTGTCTCCCCACTATGCCCTCAAAGTGAACTTTGTACTTGAGAAGATCTGCATGCCTTATGAGAAATCAAGTGGTGTTTGGATATTTGCTTCTGCAGTGCTGGAACTGAAAGTTCACACAGTTGACAAATTAAAAACAGTTTATTGTACACTAAGTGGCAAATCAAACAATTATTTGCCTTGAAAAATGAATAATGTAGAACTATAAAGGCAAGCATATTTACTGCATTAATCATAACTTAGATAAAAAAGAACATACATTTTTACAAGGACCTCTACGAGAAAAAAAATAGAATTTCTGAATTTTTGAGAGTCGTATACTATATACAGTATACACAGACATTTTAAAGAGTCTGAAAAGATATTCCGAGGATTTTTTAAAATGCTGAATCTGGCCAAAAACAGTAATCTAAAAAAATCCAGTTCAAAAAGACCATTGTACCTTCTAACGCAAAGTAAAAAAAGCATTCAAAACCAGGACAGAGCAGAGGTCTTCATTCCTGACTTGCAAGTCTTACTCAGATACCGTATTAGCTTAGTTTTCCAGTTAGGTCCCCCTTCTCCATTTCCCTACATGCTTCAGAATCAGCCTCATCAAAGCCCAGACATGATAATGCATAACGTGCTAAAACTATGAAGTATTACAAACTCTAACTGGTGTCTCTATCTCCAGAAGCTGATTTGCAACAGTTGATTATGAACCGCAAATATGTATGTATAAAATCAAATTTAGATCAAAACAGATTACTGCAGATCGGCATCTGTAAAACTAGGGCTAGGATCTGGCTCAACATATGCTAGTTCACTGCATAAAACCAGCCTGTTCTGTATTCACCACTGGTAAATACTGCTCTGTCTTGACATATGCTTACAACGGTCAAGGAAAAGCAGCTCCCTCCTTCCACAGACTTGGCCTTTGTGATGGGCAAGAGATCGATACGTAATAGGAGAAAGTAGTCTGACAGGAGACACAGTTCCTTGATTATCTTCATTTCATATGTTATTAGCTTACAGCCCATATCTCCCAGAATTAAATTCTCATTTCCCACCAGAAAAGTGACTGATGTCCCAGCAGCCGCTGTCTAGAAGATGCTTTATTTGCATTCCATTATAAACCTTATGAACTATTTAGGCCAAATATTTAAATTCAAGAAGCATCATTGAAATTGAGTCACATATTGCATTTTCAGTGATTTAAACGTAGTACATCATAGAAGAATAAATGCCTCTTGAAGTGTTAGTAGCTACTGTATATTACTTAAGAGGAACTGTATATATAGGTAAAATAGAAAGAGATAAAGATTTTGCCTTGCTTCACATTCAGATTGCAAGAGGCTTAATCATTGGCAACAGTGCCTTTTGTCTGGGATTTTGAAACTCAGTCTAACAAGTCAATGAGACAGGCTTGCTCATTCCAGTGGGAGTTAAGGCAACTCAACAGCAGAACTTAATTTTATGATGCTGCAAGTGTAGCTGATCCCTTGAGCTCAGTTTTCTTCTCCCGTTTCTTTAGGATCCACAAGTAGCCCTGTGCATCAGGGCCAAGGTCACTCCGTTGATCTTAAAATTTTGAAATGGTGGAAGGAATGTGTCTTATCCCAGTGGCTGAGATCTCTTCTGAAACCACACAATCTTCTTCAGATCTAGCTACATCCGCAGCAGCAGCAGGTCACTATGCTCATTGGATTAAACATGAAGAGCAGGATGGTAAAGCATGAACATACCTTAAATTTCATCATGTGCTGAAGAGGTTTGCTGAATCCTGATCTAATATTTATGTGGAAGTTTAGTCTATTTCTGAACATCTAGTAACACTACTTTTTTTGACAACATACAAGCATCGTGTTGAGAAGTGGCCCTTTCCCCCTTCTTGTAGAACTGCTTTATAAGCTAAGTTTCTAGCAGTGTAGAACAGTTTCAGCAGGGCAGTGCTGTGAGAATTAGCTGAGGCAGCTGCAAACAAATGGTTACAATAATCCCTTCAAACCACTACTACTAGATCTGGGACATCCATTCACACCCCCAGACTACAAAGTGCTGCTGTTTCCTTACCATTTCTTATCACTGAAGTATTAGCTAATATTCCCATAATCAATACACTTCCAGACATCACCTGCATGTTCCTCAATTTTTTAGTGCCGAACAGACGGTTCAAACCAATGCAAAGCCTAATTGTGCATGAGAATTGATCAGGGCAGTTCACAGGCAAAGTTAGCTCACCTGTGGAAGTGGTAAGCTCCAAATGAGTAGTAATAAACTCTTTACCCATAACAGCTAGATCCAAAACGACTGCAATCATGCCTCGATGTGGCATATACACTAATAATGCTATATAGGCAAAGCATTTTTTGATAGAGAAGTAGCTATACTAGCAATAGCCATGCAGAAGTAATTAATACCTCTAACAGCAATATCTCATGTCTTTTCTAAGAATCTGCTGTTACTGGTCTGGACAGACCCCCTTCCAGCTGCACCCCCAAGCTCCTCCTGTAAAAGCTTGAGGTGTAACTCCACTGGGGAAAACAGGGGGGAGGACCATGATCCACAGGTCATTAACTTTTAGAGCATAGCAAGATAGCAGAAAACTGAAGAAGATTGAAGACATCATTCGTTTTACCTGAACAGAAAAAAAAAATTAAATTGCCTTTTCTTTTAGCACAAGGATCATAATTTATCAGTCAAAGTATTGAAAATAATCAATAATTTATTAATGACTCCGCTGATCAAATAATATAAGGACTTAAACCCAGGTCTTAAACCCAGGTGACGGTCAATGGAAATACTGATCTTTTCAATTGCCAGCAAAAAATGTTGAGAAACTAATAAAACACATATCTGCTTAAAAAACATATGATTTGTTAATAGTCTCTACCTGTACTGTAGATACCTTAGTATATGCATGTCAAAATTTAAGCGTAAGTGTAAATGAAAACCTACACGTTTGGTGCTGCAATGAAGAGGGACAGGATATCCAAGACATATGAGTGCTATCTTCTTCCTCAGCAGTTGTAAGACACTATTTAATGGCTTCTGACAGCTGACCTACAATATACTTTCAAGAAACAAAACGGATCTTTTTTAATTGCTTGGCTTTTTCTAACAAACACCAGGAACACAAGCTCAAAGACAGCCCACAAGCACTAGGATATTCATACAGCAATGTTGGCAACAATCAGCCCTTAGACACCCCTTGAATCAGATGTTACACAGATTTAGTAACCCTCAACCAGTAATTTATTTTATTGCCTGTAGTCTCACACAACCTTAGCCTCTTCAGGGTCAGTTTTGCTTTCTTACTGTCCTGCAGGGTTCAGTGACCTTAATGGGCATGGTCAACTTGTTTCCAGCCCCCTCAATGTATTGGAGCCCCCTCTAAACACAGGAAAGGTGAAAAGATAACCTAATCTAAGCCATGACCAAAGACAAGACCTACTTTTCCACTACAGACAACAGCTTTAGTATTTCTGCATTTAGGGATCAATCGCACAAGCTTTCTTCCCGCAACAAAAAAGCAGCCAGAGCACCCCGGCTCCACTCACCATCTCCACGGCCGCTGACCTGGCCCGGCTGAGGGCTCACGGCTCTCCTTGGGTGGGCTGTACCACACGGCCTTGGCTCATATGTACCAACCTCTGACCGGAAAGCAGTCACTGCAGCAATGAAACCCTGCAATGGAGACATGAAGTGAGGTTAATTTTTGGTGTAAACCGTTTAATTTTTGGTGAAAACCATCCAATTTTTGGTGAAAACTGTTCTGTGGTAATGTTGAGTAAAGCCAGTAGTAAAGGAGTTCAATTAACCTCTCTCAAAAATTTCTGTAGTATCGCTCCGTGTCACGGAGAGATGCTTTAAGCTGCAGGAAGTTGAAGAACAAATCAGTGAGGCAAATACTTATTAGATCCACCCAAGGGGACTTTTTAAAGGTGAAACTATTTAGTGTTTCTGTATCTTGAAATCAGTCTGCTTCTAAGTTTTCCTGAGCTCCCAGCGTATACAGATTACATCCTTCAACTTGTTTCTCATTATTTGTAACATTATTCCATGCCTAAAAGAACAAAGTATCCTTTAAGAAATTTAAGGATATTTTAACTGAACTGCCAGACTATCAGAAGTGTGAACAGGAGAATAAAAGACTGCTCAGGACTAACTTGCCCATACTTCATTTCACCATACATGGCTTCCCCTAAAGATGTAAATGGTGACTAATCCTTCATTTGTTAACCTGAAATGCTTATACTCAAATAAAATATCATTTTTTTCAAACACATTAATAGGAATAAGTCTGGCTTGGTCAATCAGTAACAATGTCATACTGAGGAAATGGAATCTCAAGAGATACAACAATTACTTGCAGGAAACTCCTCTGGTTTTCCACTTATGCACAGGAGATTTTCACACAAAGCTCATATTGAAGCTACTTTTAGTTAACATCAAGCAGTTATAAGAATACAGAAAACAGAAATGCTGAAAAAAAGGTATTATTTTTCAGCCATTAAAATTTATGGCTTACTTTGTATCTGCAGATTTTTCTCTTTATAAATGTTTGTGGTTTATGAGAGGTTTAGAAAGGATGACTCCTGAGAACTGAGACTTTCAATACTACCCTATTATTCTAGGACAGGTTCAGGTGACAAATGTTCACTTTTCAACCAAGGATAAAGCATTCTTTTCCAAGTGCTACTATGAATCTGGATGCAATTTGAAAAGCGGTTCTGATTATGCTTGCTGGCTTAAATAATTGCATGAATCTGGTTAATATCTTGTACGAATCTTGTAACCAGAAACATTCTATGTGGCTTTGAAATTAACGTCCAGTGTTTTACCCTTTTTTGTTGCATATGATTGTATTGACACATTGTTTTGTACATTTGTGTAGGGTGATTTCTCTTCGTGTGGGAATTTTATGCTGAGATAAATAACATTACTGCAAAACTGATTGAAGGATAACATGCTCCTAACCAAATAAAGCAAACAAAAATAAAATGGACACATGCTGACAAATTTTGCTAAAGTTGCTAAAGCAAGCACTGTATTTCATTAGGGGATATAAAGTAACATTTCTAAAAGAACTTTGACCCTAAAACATTACAAAACTAGTCTGAGAGCATTCAGCGATGGCTGGGGAATGTTAAGAGGAACCATGTTTTTCCAGTATCATTCATAAGTTCAAATATATTTAAATAAAAATCTTAAAATCTTTAAATAGTGCATTCAGTGTATATAACCAAAAATAAATAGAACACACTAATCAGCAAAGCAGCTAGATCAACCGGAATCCTGCAGATTTTCACTGAATTTTTTGTATTGTAGTCATGTGAAGGAATATTTGTAACACATGAAGTTCCCACTCTGTTGGGAATCCCAACATTAACATGGATAAATACCTACAGACTCAGAAGAAACCTATTTGCAGTTACGAGCCAGCTAGTATAGGAACTGATACAGGAAAAATTTACTCACTTGTATAAAATGAAGAAGCTAGAATCAAATGTATTTTGCAGCAAAACCAGTACCCCCTCCAAAGAAAAAGCTGTATCTCACCTTGTTTAGAGTGGTGATGAAGTACCTAAGTACAGCCCTAAACAGCAAAGACTATGCAAGTGTATTGCCGAACTTCTGTGGCGCAAGCCTTCTGACATTCAGGCAGGATCCAGTGAAGAAGAGATTTCCTGAAGAAGCCTCTGTGAGTGGTTTTTGCAGAGGTATGAGCAATAAAAAGTGTCCACTGATTTTCAGTAAAAAATAGTGGAAGCCAGTGTTTCCCTGCAGCCTCTGCGGCTCTCCTAGCCAAGCCAGCTCAAATGCCCCGTGGGTATCTCTGCTGCACAACTGCTCCCGTTTACCTTCACAGCATACTGAGTCTTCACATACAAGACATAGTGCCAGCAGAGTGTCGGGTTCTCTGGCTTTGGTTTTTTTTGAGCGGTTCTTTTACTATCATGAGTGCAGCCTGGTACTACACGCTGAATCGCTTTTGCCTTAATTACAGTGACACTGACCAGACTGCATTAACTTGACTGCGCCATGGATGTGACATACAGATTGTGCTCCAACAGATTCTCTGTTTCACAGCAAAATGAAGTATTTTCTCTCCACAGAAAAGACTTCAAGCACAGAACGTCATGGTCTGTTTGGATGTCTCAAATTTGCAGGACAGTATACTCTGTAAATTAAACCTTACTTCATGAGCTCACTAGGAAAGAAAACAAACACAGCGAACAAGGACTCAATCCCCTTTGCACATGAATTCACCACTTAATTCATGAGCTTTCTAACTCACAAGTTCCCCAGTTCATAACTAGCTTGTAACTTATGCACCTATGAGCAAAATAGTTACCTAGCTGATGGTGAGAACACTCATCTTCCCTACTCCGTCACGGTGCGGGCTTCCCCCGTATCACACTGGGAAGCATGAAAGCCTCAGCAGTCCAGCTGCTGTTGTATCTGCCTCCAAAACTTTTTGGGTATGTATTTAGCCCTGCTGTTGAGAAAACCTGTGAGTTTCAAGAGAAGAACAAAAAGGTTAAGGAACAGGATTATATACTTAAATGATATGATATAAAACAAAAGTAATAACAATGTGTGGTAGAGATATGGAAACTTGTGAACAAAACCCTAAACATACTGCATCAGAACTGACAAGACTACAGATCAGACTCTTCCCTGATAAACAATCATTGTTGTCGTCATGAAACATTGGTGGTACTGTTCTGTACTGTTTTTCATATGAAATAAATACTTTATTATTCCTTTATTTATGCTTTAATCAAATTTCACTATGTCAGTGTGAAGCTCATTTATGGTTCCTTTCTTAGTTTGCAGGTACCAACGGCACAGAAAATGCCCTCAGAATTGGCCTTAATTGTCAACCTTATGGTCAGCTCAGCTGGCAGACCACATCCTGCTGGGAACTGGGAGGCAGCCTAAACATGTTACAGAGGTCAGCAACAATTACCACTTAAAATGGCAACTCTTATTAACAAAAAGAAAAAAAGAAAACAAGCCATGTAGACCGAATCCCTATGATTTTCAAATAAACACCACTTACTGTTATATATTGAAATTTTCCACCTTCTGAGAGCTGAGTTTTTGCCCTAAAAGGCAGAAACTCCCATTTCTTTTAAAGTAAACTGACAAGGCTGTGCACGACCTTGCCTTCTGCAGGATTCATTTTATCTTCTGAATTTCATTGAAGATGAATTAACAAAGGCTGATATGTGTCAGCTCTGCAGACTGAACTGAGGCTGAATTTCTCACGTTCTGCAAGGCTAGTCTAGAACCTAATAAAGGCAGTCAAAG